GCAGATGAAATTGACTAAATGGCATTATTATGTATGTATGGCAGTCAGATGTTCTTTCATCTTGCTGCCATACCGATTTATATGTCTTAATGCATTTGGAATAATAAAAAATGCAATTCTTCTCTTTATAAGTAAGAAATGTGTTTTCTTTCTTGCCACCGAAGTGAGAAAATTCTATGTGGAAGATGGAGACGCAACAACAAAATGCTGTATATAAACTAGAAACATTATTATATTTACTAAATCTTGACATTAGCAGCTAATGATGTGATCAGCAGTTTATATTTTACTACACAGTTTGTCCAGTCTCTCAAACACACACAGAACCTGCTGGTTTGACTTACACTCCTTTCCAAGACACTAACTCTAATCTTAACCATAATCATTACATGCCTAACCTCAGCTCCTACCAAGTCTGAACCCTAAAATGTAATGTTTAACTCTGTGGGAACCAGATTATTGTCTCCCCAATGTGATTTACACAAGTACTCACACACCCTGCAGCTACCAGTTCAACAGTGGTGGGCCCTTTTGAAGTGTCCTTGGCAGCAGTAGTTCTCACTCTCTTATTTTATGCCTAAGAAAATATATTTAGTTATAACTTACATACATTTTTAGATTTTTTTTAATGCTATAACACTACATTAATAACACATATTCATAAAGAAGATGCGCTCATGATAATATACATGAACAAACAAGGTCTACAAATGATAGAGATTCAGTTCAGTAGCATTCCCTGGACAATGTGTCTCCTTAAGGTAACTTGAACCATGGCTGCCAAGGGCACAGAGGGCAACACAAACCATGCAATAGAAAGCAGATGTCCATGCACACACACACATATACACACACACACGTAAATCACACACAGATGTTCATGATTACACCACGTCAACTTCTCATCTTTTTCTCATACAGATAAAAGCAGCAGATTTTTTATGTATGTGTGTTGGTAACAGTTTTAATTATGGGTCTAATCTAAATTCTGCTGACATTTTTTGCAAAATTTATGATTTGACCAGGGTTAAATCTGCTCAGTAACTCTAAAACAAGAGATCTTGAAAATACACTGAGGGGTGTCATGGTAACTAAGTGGTCAAAGATGCACATAACTGCACCATCTCCAGTTTAGCACCGTGCCAGAGACCATCTGTTCATAAAATGAAAATGACTTTGTCACTATGACAAAACATTAAGAGAAATATATGTCTAACAGTAAAGGAGTCTAGCCTTATATTTCTTCTTCAGTCTGTAACATGGTTAGTTTTCTTAACATTAATACATCATCTCACAAATGAACATATCATTGGCATTAATGTGTTGCTTGTAATAGTACAATAAACATCTGCAAAATTGACCTTTACCTTAGTTAGTCCTAAACTGCACGAAGCCTGTAGATTGCAGAGAAAATGGTGCCCTCTAGTGTCAGTGACAGGAACTGTGATATTGAAGCAGCAGCTGGTGAATGTAATTATGAGAACAGACAGAACAAGAGGTGGAAAAGGAAACAGACAGAAGATATAAGTTAATTCAGGTTCAGCTGCTGCTGTGAAACACTGCTTGTTATATTCCTGAAAGTAACATGTCAACCGTAATGTCTGCATCTGTATTTCTATAATATTGACCAATAAACATGGTGACAATTAACAAATTATATTATTATAACAAATATTTCTAGCTGTTCAGGAAAACACGAAATCCATGCCAACATATATGCCAACATGAATGAGAAGTCCTTAAAGCAAGTATAATCAATATATATATACAGTTAATTATCACCTGTCTTTCATCTCACCACTCACTGTTGTTTTTGGCAACAGGCAGTTGTTTTCAGCACAACAACTCTAAAAACACAGTCAGACTCAGAGAGTCAGATATTTCCCACAGGAGTTGGTAGAGACCAGAAACAGAGCAAAAAGTAGAGCAATATTTGGCTGACATTCATCAGGTTCACAGAAACACAACTCTAAATGAATGATAATGTTGCTGTTGGTATCTGCTGGATGTGTAAACAGGAAAGAGTAATCTACCATGTCCGTCATATCAATTTACAAAGTAAAAGGTGATGATACATCGCTGTTATGTTTACAGCTTTCTGCTGTCCCAAAGTGGCCAGAAAAGTGGTGGTTTAAAGTGCTCAGAATTTGACTGATCTGATGAGGAGGATCAGGTGATATGAATAAAAGCTCCAGAACAGCTACTAAACTGACCTTAATGTGAGATTGTTTTGTTGACTGCAGTTTCCAAGATCAAAAGATTAAATGTTCAAACTCACTTTTCATTCAGTGTCAGCATATTTTGTAAGGTTTAACAAATGGGTTTCTTAGTATTTCAATTCCAGCATTGTTTAAATCCATGTTTGAGTATTTTAAGAGTTCTCATGGTTTTCAGGGATCAGCTTTAGGCATGCCCTTACAATATCTGAAATGTGTTTGAGGATTCGCTGTATATGTGCCAGCTCTTAAACAGGAAACCACCTGAGGGCAACTTGTGCTTTGGGAAATGTAATTATTGTGAAAAGATGATGACTCATTAAGAAAAGAAATCATACCTGATAAATAATACTGTTGCTGTACAACTCAAGTTGCTACTGTACCTATTTCACAGATTAAGATCACTTCATCGGTTTAGTTAAAGTGGTTCATGTCTTTTTTGTTGTTGATCCATTTGTGATGATTTCATAATGATACAGACATCCTGCCATTTGATTTCCATTTATTATTACAGATGTGGATTAAGACCACATAATCAGCTTGGACTACCTTTTCTTTTGCATAGCATCAGTTATGATAACAATAAAAGGACAACCTTCAAATCATCAATAGTTATTTGTCTTGTTTTTTCACTCTTGGATGTGTTTTTGTAGTATAGATTTGGTAATTACATTCAACTGAAATAGAGATATGTGCTACAGTATAGGTGAAAGGTCTACTGTATTTGCCGAGAAGGAGAAACTACGGTGGGCATAAAACTCACTTACAACAAGAAAGGCCCAATCTAGAGCCAGTGTTTGGTTTGTCCGTTCTGGGCTACTGTAGAAACATGGTGGGTTCCTTAGAAGAGCACCCGCTCACTCATAGATAAAAACAGCTCATTCTAAAATAACAAACATATGATTCTTATTTTCAGGTGATTATACACTAATGAAATTATATCTATGAATATTGTTTTCCATTTCTGACAATAGATCCTCTTTAATGTTACACACTAAAGTCCCCCTGACCCTATTCAAACTTGTCATTGATGTGCTGTAGCACCTCCTTAAAATTCAATTTCAATCAGTAAAAGGAGAACAATAATAATAATAATAATAATAATAATAATAATAACTTTATTTACGAAGCACTTTTTAAAAAACAGTTACAGTTACAAGTGCTTTACAAATAATTTCTTTATGTATGAATTTCTATACCTGCAGATTTAATTTTAACATGATGGTAAATTAAATAAGAGTTTTTATTTTTATTTTTTCAATCCATTCACAAATCATATAGAGGAAAATACTGTATGTCTTGTATAATGTAATGTATTCGTAGAGAAAGTAATGTTGTAATGTTTCAGTGAAAGGTGTTACTCTGGAGCAGAACCAGCAGAGGATGGAGGGAGGCCTTTTCCATTTCCTTCTCCTGTTTATGACTCAACCAGACAGACCAGAGTGTGTAGGATGGTGAGGAGCTGCCAACCGGCTGCTGTTGACACACTGTGGACAAGCGCTCGTTCCTTTTTCCAGAAATCCTCACTCAACCAGTTATACATCAGTTACAAAAACATGACACTGTTTGACAAGAAATCTTACTTATAAGGAACAGCAGGGAAAAGCTACACAGTGTGACATAGTGAATATTATATTATTTTCTTTGTTTTTAGACAACTGGTTAAAGCAATTTTGGATTGGACTGTTAAATTATTAATCTTGCTCACTTTGGTAATCCCCTAAATTTTCTTGTAGAACCACCACAAGGTTGACATTGTGTTTTTGAGTGAAATATATCAACTATTGGATGGACTGCATTACATTTGGTACAGATATTCATGTCCCCCTCAGGATGAATTGTAATAACCTCTGTGATCCTTTAAATTTTTTATTTAGCACCATCATCCAATCAAAAGTTTAATTTCTCCAGTACTTTGGTTCATGACAAAGTACCTATGTTGGCATGCTGACATCAACATTTCGCCCTAGTCTTCTTTCAGTGATTAGTTGTAGAATTTGTTTCTTTTCTTTCTCATGAATCAACGGCCATGAACCATCACAAATCTTCTTTTTCTGGAAACAGCTTGTAGTTAGTGTGGCACATGAACCTGAGCTGCAGACACATATTCCTTTGTATTGCTCTCTTGATTACCTCACACACTCATAAACTGTATTTAAAAAATAACACCAGTATTTCTGCAGCAGCCTATACCACACACACACACACACACACACACAGAAAGAGCGGATGTGGCATTTAGAGTAAAATAGAGGTTTTTCATGGTTTATGGTTAAAATAAAATGCTCAATCACCTCTCCACCCCCAAAAAACACACACATACAGGCCCACAATTATGTCATAAATTTGGCTGAACTCCACTGTAGGTGTAATGTCGTGTGTTTTTCCTAGAGGGCGCTCTTTTAATGCTCTAAGGAAATACTCCCCACTTTTCCCTCTTGCTCTCCACCTTGCCTCTTTTCTCGCAGCACTCCCCTCATATTTGGGGGGGAAAGGAATCTGGAATCGTTTTTCTTTCCCCTGCTCTGCTCAGATACTTGCAAGTTCCTTACTTCAAGACACACACACACACACACACACACACACACACACACACACACACACACACACACACACACACACACACACACACAGATGGACACAGATGTACATACACAAGCACACACAAGGATATGCACTTATACACACAGAATGGTCTCTTTGGCTCCCTAGGTACTTTGTGGCTTCAGTGTCTTCAGGCAGAACAAACCCAATCACACAGACACACACACACACAGACACACACACACACACACACACACACACACACACTGAATCTTGAATGCTGATCAAAAGTTTCTCATATTCATTGAAAGCTGTCCACCTTTAAAATCCAAATTGATCAGTTGCCCTTTGATTTCTTTCTCATTCACTCCCTTTCTTCAGCAGTTCTTGTCAGTCTTTTTTTCTTTTTGTATCTCCATGGTACAAGGAAACATGTTTCCTCCAAATGTTGTGGGTTCAACCGTTACTGAGGGCTGCGCTGAGAGAAAGGAGAGGAAAGAAGTAAGTCAGGGAAGATTATGGAGGTGGTTTAGGGTCTGGGATGTGGGCAGCATTTGAAGGAGAGGAATGTAGCAGACAGTGGGCAAACACTGCTGGAAAACACACACGCACACTCACACACACAAACATATGCAGACGCATTAACACACACACACACAGTTCCATTAAGCTCCAAAGGGCTTCATTGGGAATTTAAGACTACCTGTCTCCGTTCTGTAGCTCCTGACCAAACAGGTAAGTGTATGTTTATTTCTCGTCTGCTTCAATTTCCTTTCTCTCCAAGGCAGGTAAAACTGGAAATGTTGAAATCTGGAAAGTGCCTCTGTTTAATTACAGTTGCTTTATGAGGCATCATTGCATAACATAGCTAATATTTTGGCAACCTTTTTTGCATGTGCTGTAAGTGACAAAGGCAAAATGCAACATTGCAAACATGCTGATTAAATCCAACTTCCTATGATGCAAAGCTTTCTTACGCACTGCTGTGTCATATAGTAACTGAGAGTCTCTTTGTGTGTGTGCTTGTGCATACCAGCTTTGTGGGAATTACCGTAACCATCTACAGCTGTGTATGCAGGGAAAAATTTATTCTTCCCGCTCATACATAGTAGTTTGAATGGAAAGAAGCCTGTATGCACAATCAACCATCTCAGCTGCATTTCAAACAGTGCCATGGATTCATTTAATTCTAATGTAATGATAAACATAGAGAGAGGCTGCCATAGAAGGGATGATCACTGAAACCATTTTTATCTTGATTTTCAAAGCTTCAGATAGATTCACATTCAATATTTCCAATAGCTGCAAAGGGTTTTTCAGTACTTAGAAGCTTTACTGCTTGAAAGAATTGCAAGAGGCAGATTAAACAAGAAGTGTCCACAGCCATGCTGGAAGCTATGTGAGGTTGTACGTAGGCACAGCAGTGAGAAAATGCTAACATGTTGATCTTCAGCAGGTAATGTTTACCTTGTGAATTACCTTAGTCTAGCTTGATAATATGGTAACATTTGCTAATTAGCATTGTAAACAAAGCACAGCTAAAGGAATTTACTTAGTTTTGCAGGTATTTGGTCAAAAAGCAAAGTATCGTACAAATTGAAACGTTGACCAGATATTGACACTAGAGAAAAAATGCAGGGGTCAAAGTCATTACAATTCATCCTGAGGTGGACATGCATATCTGTACTAAATGTCATCACAATCCATTTGGTAGATTTCAAGATGGATAGTTGAAAACTTTAACCTGCTGGTGGCGTAACGTCAAGGGATCACCAAAGTCATTTGGATTCATAACGTTAGCATGTCTAAAAATGAATGGATGCCGCAGAGGGAATATGGATCAAGCTCCAAAAAACCTGGAACCTCCATTCCCATAATACAGTTTGATTGCATGTTTCTTTAGACTCTCCTTGCCTGATTAATGTCCACATTAGACTACAAACAGAATGCCCTACAGGCTTTTTGATTATGCCTATAAGACATATCACGTAAGCAGTTTTTCTCAGACTTGACAAAACTCCTACAGAGTCACAGAAGACTCCTGTGACTGGTAAATTGACTTTGACGGCTTATTTAACATCTTTGTCCTAATGTTTAATTTGCAGGATTACATATCTCACAGTCTCCATGGCTCTCCTGTACTGTGTCGTGTTGGTGCTGCTGTGTGTTTTTGACTCTGCCTCAGCCACTGTTATAGCTGACATGGACTACGGAGGTGTTCCTCTGTGGATTAATCGCCTGCTAGGTGAGCCCAGTGTGCTTAGCCTGCAGGGACGAATGGACCCAATCTGGTTCCGAGCCAACAACCCCCAGGCCTGCCCTCAACAGTGTGACTGCCCCATCCAGTGGCCCACGGCACTTTACTGTGACCACAGAGGCCTGGCAGACATCCCTGACAGCCTGCCGGACAGAACTCAGTACTTGTTTCTACAGGTAGGAAATACACTGACACAGGCACTGAGCATTTGTTGTCTTTAGAATGGTCTGCCACTAGCCCACAGTGTTTTTTCATTTCCTGTTCAGATTGTAAACTTCCCACAGTAGCTGACCTCCACAGCACTGTACTGTATATGTCTAATTTTCACTGTAAACTATAAAAGGTCACAGGAAATTTCTTTTATTGTTTTCAGCGCAACAACATCTCGTCCCTGTCCTCCACTTTACTGGCCAACATTACAGATCTACGCTGGCTCATCCTGGACCACAACCAGCTGCAGAGTGACAAGCTGGACCAGGCTGCCCTGCAGAACCAGAGCCAGCTGTGCTACATTTTTGCCAACCACAACCACCTGACATCAGTGCCCAGCACTCTACCAGCTGGACTCAAGCAGCTGCGACTGGCCCACAACAAAATCAGCAGCATCAGCCCTGGAGCTTTCCAGAACCTGCACAACCTGACGCTGCTGCTGCTGCAGGGAAACAGACTGCAAACCATCACAGATGGAGACCTCAAAGGTAGTGTAATGTGTCATTTCCTTGATGCTAGGTATACTGCACAACGTGTGCTTTGTGCACATCCTGCAAAAAAAGACACTTCAGAAAAACAATTCAGAAAAACACTTAAAAAACAATTTCCCTTACTTGGAACAGCAGTACTTTAACATCTTTTTCCGTTTGCTGTGAAGAGTCCATTTTACATAGGTAGCTGTTAAGGTGGTTGGATTCAAAGGGTTGTTTAATTCAACAGTGATTGGATTTCATGTCTTTCAGTAAAAATGTAATGCATCATAAAATCTCACATTCTGTCCATAATTTAATTTGATACTACCAAACTGTGAAACCGTTCTACAAATGAAAACTGAAACTAAAACAATATTTAAACGCTTAAGAATAACATTTCTTCAACAATAGCTCAGTAGGCTGTATGGACAGTAGTCTGTACAAATATTTCAGTGAAAACAGTGATAAACTCAAACTTTCGCATAGTGACTACTACTGTAACATGATACCTGTGTGGAATATCTGATCCTATATGTGTTCAGATAACAGTTTATAAAATATTTGCCTTGTGATAAACGGAAACAGTCTGATTGCACTAATTAACACTGAATATTACTAGCATTTAACTAGCTTGACTTTTGCTTGTGTGTGTGTGTTTCCCTCATCTTGCAGGTCTGGTCAGTCTGAAACAGCTGGACCTCAACGGGAATTTGTTCTCATCTGTCCCCCGGCATTTGCCCCCTTCTGTTCAGCAGCTCTATCTGTCCAATAACACTCTAACTGAGCTGGATGAGGACAGTTTTGTGGGATTTCTCAACCTTAAGTACCTTCGTCTAAGTCACTGCGGTCTGAAGAGCCGCAGCATCCACCCCAAGGTTTTCAACTTCTCCAGCTTGGTGGAATTGGACCTTTCTTATAACAAACTCACTACCGTTCCCACAGTCCCTACCACCCTGCAGTACCTCTACCTGGAGGCCAATGAAATACAAGGTGAGGTGCATATACTGTATACACAAATATGCAACATATGCAGTCATCATTCACTGAGCTCCTCCCTTCCTCTCTCTTTCTGCACTCATTCATGTTCCATTAATGCATGTTACTAACTTCACTTCTTCCCCAGAGTTCTTGTGCTTTCTCGTCTCGCAGGTTCTTGTCGATCCTGGTGGAGCCTCCTGCCATGGTCCTGCTAGATTGCCATTGCCAATACTGTTGTTGCTGTGCACCTGTCTGTCTGTCCGTCTCTCGCTCTCTCTCTCTCTGTCTCTCTCTCTCTCTCTCTCACCCCAACTGGTCGAGACAGACGACCACCCACCTAGAGCCGGAGGATCTGTCCTAGGTTTTGGAAACAACCTAGGACAGATCCTTGCCCTTGTCGCCAAGTGCTTGCTCATGGTGGTACTGTTGGGTCTCTGTAATTAATGTTATAAAGAGTTCGGTCTAGACCTGCTCTATTTGAAAAGTGTCCTGAGATAACTTCTGTTATGAATTGGCGCTATACAAATAAAAATGAAATGAATTGAATTGAAAAAAATTAATTCACACTGTGAATGCAGAGGTGTCACTAAAGTCATGTTTTTGAAATGTTAATTTTCCATAAGTGTGCACACTCACATACATTGTACAGTACAACAATGTACTCACTTCTTCAGCAAAGTACAATATTACTGAGTTATGTGGCTGACCACCTGGAGAGGTCTGACACCTAAACCCTGCTGTGATGGAGAAGATGAAATGTGGAAAATGTGACAGACACTGTAAAGAAACCCACACACCCGGCCCTCATCACTGCATGCGGACGTGGGAGGGGATGGGGTTGGTTAGCTAGCAGACAAGGCAAGTCAGAGATGGAAGAAGAGAGAGAATAAAGGGAAGGGAGGGACTTAGAGACATGGAAAGAGAAAAAGTGAAGAGAGGGCGGTGAAGAGAAGCGGGGAGGGAATATTGGGTGGTTGGAAGAGAGAAAGTAGGCTAGCAAAGAAGCAAGGAGAGTGGTATGAAAACATCTGTGATGGATTCAGAGGTAAGGGTTCCAGATGAGCCAGAAGCACATGCTGTTCCCCTCTTCATGGTCCTCTCTTTCCTTTCTCCCCCTCTCTGGCGTTTTTTTTTAACAGAAAAGATTAGTACCACAATGCTGCAGACTTGTAGCCAGGAGCCACATTTTAATTCACATGACCATCCGCCAGCAATGACCTGGTGTGCAGTTTTGGCTCAGTGGAAGTGTGTTCTTGTTTCTCAATCTGTGATGCAGTAGACAGCAGGGCTGCGTACCAATGGGACAGACAGACGGCAAAACACTTCCACAAAAACACACACCTCATCGTCTAGCTAGCTGCCTGACAGCTACTGCAGTTCCTGTCTGCCAAAGCCTACAGTCTGGGCGGAGGGAGGCTCTACTACTGAAATGAAGTGAGAAAGCAAAAGAGGGCATTGTGGTTTCCTTATCCTCCATTTGCACCACAGCACCTGCAAGAATGAATGAATGGGAAACTCTATGAGAATAAGAGCATTTGCAGATTGCACAGAGCCTCTCCTATTATGTGATTGAAGCACTTCATCTTAATAATTTACATATGATGAACACATGGTAAATGATGTGAAGTCTAAACTGTGTGGACTGGTTTAGTATATACAATGTTTTGACAAGACAGCAATGAATAGATCACCGTCACTGTGGTGAATAATGTGTGTCTAATAATAAAATCTGGTTTGTATACAGTATGTTTAAAAGAATCCTGTCTGTTTTCTGTCTGTTTACCACAGGGTTCAACCTGACTAGTTTCTGCAGAGACATGGGACCTCTGTCCTACTCCAGGATGAAGGTATTACGACTGGACGGAAACAAGATGTCCTACCATCAACTGCCCACTGACTGGGTCTTCTGTCTGCGGGTGCTTGAAAGTATTTACATCTGACTCCAACCTTCCGAGCATGTATCAAAGTAGGATTATTGTATGTGACTGGACAACCTCAACCTCTAGTGATTCAAAAAAAAAAACGTGACTCAACTTAGGAGTTGTTTTATTAGCCAACTCGTCATTTGTGATGTCAAACGACTCAGCCTTAAAGCTAGAAACCAGAGACTCTAATTCATTATGTCTTCAATATGTAGATACACTGCCAGGCTCTAAGGGTAAAACTGACCTTCAAACGATGCCAAAGCTTGAACTTGTACACTAAACCAGTGTTATTTTATCATAATGCCAAAAGTCCTGATCAAAACATTTCTCATACCACCAGTGCATTCCCATGAGCTTCTCTCTCTCATTCCATCTTTTCCAAGTTCTGCCTCAGCAGGGTTGTACATCTGTGTGTTATTATTGAATAGGAACAGTGACAAACCCTCATTTCTGACTGTAGAGAATAATATGCTATGGTTAAACTGAGCTGTGTTGTGGGGAAAGGGAAACATGTATGAATGGCAAAATTCAGTAGCTTTCCCGAGAGAGAGAATCTGACTCAGTTAGCTGGACAGTGTTAAACAGCCACACCAGTCCACACGTGTGTTTTGATGCAGCTATTGAAAATCAGAGGTCCATGATCCTAAATGTGACATTTGGTTTGTACAAGCAACAGAAAAATAAAATGGACATTTACATCATTTGTGTACTTGTGTTTTTTAAGTAAGCTACAACAATACTTTAAACCTGAAATATAAGCAATGCAGTGATTCCATTAGACCCTTGATATTATATCAAACTTAACCATGTTAATCACACAATTAGGTAAATATTATACCAAAAAATAAAATGTTATATACATTTTCAGGCTCAATTAAGGGTGGAGATTATCTGCTGTATATATTTTCCCATTCTTATTTCTTTGTGGTTGTTTGAAACATCTTCGGGGAGATTTTACTGCCAGACAGTAACTCATGGAAGCAAATTGCATATAAATACATGTAAAACATTAATAAATGGATAGAATGCACAACCAGTGTGTTTAGTAAGAAGGGATTTAATGAGTAAATGTACATATGTCTGTGTACACATCTGTGTACAGTATGTCGCCAGATTATGTACAGTATAAATAAGCAGGTCTCTTATATGAGCAGTGTCAGAAGAAGCCATTGTGTACAGAATAATATGGTCAGAGTTAAATACAAATAATGGAAGGATTAAAGGATTTGTACGTTGGATGACGTTGCGTTGGTTTCCAACATGCAGAACATTTCTGCATGTTTTTCAAGCCTGTGTTTTGTCATGATGTCATCTCACAGTTTATTCTGTTTGAGGAAGAGTCCAAACTGACTGAGGAGAATGGGTGGAGCGCTCATACTACACAGTGACACACAGACAAAAGAAAATCTTGCAAACAGAATTCCATTCACTTTTTTTTTATCTAATTCACCCGCAGCATTTAGTACTGATGTGTGAGTTTGAGTTGAGAAGATAAACCGACAGCAACTTAATTACGTTATTACGATTTTCATATTTAATAATTAGGATTTCCATATCTCCTCATTTACTAAAAATCTAATTCTAATTGTCTTAGTATCTGATGCAACCTCATGTGGATCAGACTGTCTGCATACTGCTGACATACTAATAATAATACCATCTACATTTCTTCTAAATGCCACAAACCAAGAGTGACATAGGCCTACCAGTGAAATAAGGTAGTCATTGTGGTCCTGTTTACTCAAAAGGAAGACTGCAATAACCAGGTGTTGCTTTTCTCATAATGACAATACTGCAACACCATTTTTCCATCATTATATGATAAAGATAACTCTGAGATGGTTAACTCAAAATTACAGAATGCATAAGTCAGAATTATAAGATATGCAATTACAAAAAGATTTTCAGTTTTTCAGTGAAGGCAAAACGGGTCCATAAAAAATAATTATATCATATCTGACTTTCGAAATCAGAAATATGATGGTTTGATTTCTTTTAGATGGTTGCCATAGCTTTCTGGGTGATAGAAAATATTTTTTTAATGTTTAAGACTAAACAAAAAATGTTTAGGTGTCCTGTTTCCTAAAATAGTGGTTTTCAATCTTTTTGCCTTTTGTGCCATTAAAACAAAGCAATGAATGAATGATTTCTGCATTCAGATTGTTTGTCTTAAATGATTCTTAGAGGTCCAAAGAGTAAGAATTATCCAGCATTTCACAAAAAATAGGTCTAAAGGAACATACATACATTTGGGGGTCCTATCTACTCAGATTGGAATCACTGTCCTTGAACCTCCTTTTTTTATGAACTGATCATTTTGTTCATATATCAGTCTGGTGGTTGGATAAAAGCATTTAATAGAGTAATTTTATGAAGCATTTTTATGAATCAGTTCCCTGAAACTGACTTTTCCTGTAGCTAAGGACCCCTAAGAACAAGCACTATTAACTACTACAAAACACTCATTGTTTGTATGTCTGTCTGCGTATGTGTGTGTTCGGTGTACCATTACTAAAGCCACTGTCATATTTTCCAGGTGACACCATGTCTTTTAAATGCTGTGAGTGTGTTTGATGGTCTGATCAGACTTGTGCTATGTCTGGACCCATATTTACCAGTGGCAGTCACTCACACAGAGTTCCATTGAGGGATGAGCATTAACCATAAAACTCTAACTTGTTCCAATGAAGACCAGCCAGCAGTCTACTGGGTACTTATGAAGTCATGATGGAAAGTTGACTGGTTCCATGTTGCTGCTGAGAGGCTGTAAACACAATTCAGGCAGGTCATATGCTAGATCACGCCAGAATTACTCAACATTTTGGGAAATATTCTTTGCTGAGCGTTACATACAATCTCTCTCAGCATGAAAGTAACCTTAATGGTGGTCAAACGCTACAGAAGAAGATTGATGCTCATCCTCAACTGCTCTGACAGTTGTCTTGTTATTGTCATCACGCCCTCCTTTATTAATGTGATATTAGCTCTTCTTTTCCTCTCCATTTTTCTTTATTATACCGCAGTCTGTCCTACCTGTAAATCAGTCACCCTCACACACTTAAACCAGACCTCTGCTGCATTCCTCATCTTTAGAGCCGTGAAGCTCAGTGATCAAATATGAATCACGGCTTTATTACCAGTAACAATACTGGTATTTAAAATAAAAACACATTTGAAATACAGTACATAAGATGCATTAGTGAGCGCTCCCTAGTGTCTCTCAACTAAGTGAGAAGACACAGATGTAGGGTTTCAGGAATGGCCAGCTGGCAGGAAGAGGCACTATAGAGCCAGATGGCACGTGGGAGCACCTGAAAGGCTCCCTGGCACGTTACAGTGATATGAACCGCTAACTGAAGGCACTTTTGTTGCATAAACTGCAAGGTCATTGTCCTTAACATTTTTTCCATCAGTACTTCCAGACTCACTGATTTGCTCCGCTAAGGGGGTCTAAATGAAACAGAAAAATGCAAAATGGAAAAGGAAAACAGTAATGAAAAAAATACTTAATCTGGTAGACATCGGTTTTATATCAAAAAGGCAGCTCCAAAGTTTTTAGTGGAGAAGTTTGGGTTGTAAGAAAGAAAGTAATTCATGTAGTTTAGAAGTTATTTCTAATAAAGCGTCTTAGTCAGGGGGATTATATTTGCAGCTATTTAAAAAGAGAACAAAACTCTGACTGGTGGAATCATTAAATCCATTCCTCTCCTCTGAACGAAACTCTGCCTTGGAAACCACCAGTCAAAACAATCTGCATTGAAGCTCCCTGTGGTGTCATAACAGCAACACAGAGAACTGAGGAGCTCAGGACCCTCACATACCACATCCCTCTGCCCGCAGACTACAATCTACTCAGGTTAGATATGAATAAGTCAGAGAATGAAAAACTTTTGGACCTTTTAAATCTCTAATTTTTATCCACTGCTGTCAGTTGTCTGCATGAGCACTCTTAATATTTCCAGATGGTTCTTAATTTCTTAGTTTCTTCTGCACTTATTTCTTCTTTTATATCAAGGCAAGGCATTTAAACAACAAGGCAATTCAAAGAGCTTTACATAAAACATATTAGGCATCATGACAAAATGTACAAGAAACATAATGCAATATAAAAAAAAGACATTTAAATACAATTAGAAATAGTTAAACAGAGAATAAAAAGATTAAACAGGAGAGTAAAGGTCAGTGTGAAAAAAAAATCTTAATCCTCAGATTTGATGTAGGCACGGGCAGAATCCTTGAGCCTTGATTAAAAAGAACGAGAGCTGTAGCAAACCTACAGTTTTTTGGGAGTCTGTTCCAGATATGTGGTGCATAAAAACTAAAAGCTGCCTCTCCATGCTTAGTTTTGAGTACGAGGACAGAAAGCTGGTCTGAAAGGTCTGGATGGTTCATAATGTAGCAGATGATCAGAAATTGTATTTTGGCCATAAAACTAAGTCTTATAAAGTCTGTGCTTTGAAAACCAACAGCAGGGTTAGGGTCAGAGTCATAATGACACCAAGATTTACAGATTAAAGCTGAGCACTGACTCAACATTGTTCTTCTTTAGCTCCAAAAACAATAAGGCTACTTCAGTTTTATCCTTTTTTAATTGAAGAAAATTCTGGCACATTCAATTGTTTGTCTACATAGTTATTGTAACATATTTAGCTGTTTTCCATCATCTGAGCATGCAAACAGGAGGCCATTTTTATCTGCTCAGATGTATAATTACCTATAGACACAAAGTAGTCCCTGCCCTTTAAGTAGGCTTTAAACCAGTTTACTGTGCAGAAAGTCCCACCCAGTTTAACATTCGGTCTGGTAATATGTTATGGTTTACTATGTCGAATGCAGCATTGAGATCCAACAATAGCACTTACCCAAAAAGCAGGGAATAGTGTGATGTTTTTGGGATTAGCTTTGAGAACTCACATGCAAGATGCATCAATGACCTGATTGTTACATAAAATCAGTTTTGAATCTTTAAGCCTCAAACAAATGCACGTTTTACTGGCTGCTGGGTCATTTTGGTCAGTATTAACTTGCAAATTGCATGTTGTGCATTATGTTGAACCAGTTCTACTGTACATCTATAATACATCATCTATACATGCTGGCATGACACTCCTGATCTCCAATGAACATTGTTAGTAATAAGAACAAACAACCTTTTGTTTTCTCAATATATTATATATTCTTTATCTATAATCTGAAATATCTTGTTATCTCAAGAGCACAAAGTTATTTTCCCTTATAAAATAATGAACTTGTGATCTAGAGACAACGGCATTTAAAAAAAAATATTTTCAGCATGGTCATTCTCGGCTTCTGTAGGGTAGGTTAATGGACCAAGTGACTCTCAAAACGGAATAAAATACAGAGAGGTTTGGACCTCCCAGCTGCATGAAGAGTCTGTTTGTCGCTGGGCGGAGAAATTATCTTTAAATCCAACTCAGACTTGTATGGTACATGTGGTTTTGGCTAGATGACTGAGGAAGCCGTTAGTTTCATTTACAGGCCTGTTTACAAGCAAGACTAAGACCTCCAGCCCACTCATTAGACAGACACACATAAACACACAGACAGATGCTGATTCTGCTGTCTTGTATTTCCTTTCAGGCCTGAAGAGAGTTACTTTTATTTTACAAAGTCATCAATTTACAGTGCAGTAAAAACTCTTCATTGCAAAAGAAAGAAGGCTCACGTTTTTTCGACTTAT